CTGTTTCCTCCTTTGTGCCTGATCGTGATTGACACAGCAGGTCTTTAAGCAAACCCTAAGCAAAGCCTCCTGTGTGTGCTCCTCGGAGCCTGGATGTAATTGGCGCTGGATGCACTTAGGGAGGAGAAGTGATTTGGGAGGAAGGGAGAGTTATACAGTGAGATTTGCTCCTGTGATGGTCTAAAACACTGAGGCCAGTCCCAAAATATCGGGCTCTGTTCTATTGAGCCTGTAAAGTTTACCTTATGAAAGAACAGGGCCTTAGAAATAAATTAAGGCTTTGAAAGTGTGGAATTGTTAAGGAGTTTCTGTGGGCCCTAAGTGCCATCACAAGTGTCCTTAGAAGAAAAAGACTTGAGACTTAACACACAGCAGCAGAGGAGATGGCAGTGTGAACACAGAGACAGAGTTCGGAGAGAGGTGGTCACAGTCAAGGAAAGCTGCAGCCACCAGAAGCTGGAAGAGGCAAGAAACAGATTCTCCCGTAATATCTCGGACCCTACCCCAATAACACCCTGATCTTTTCCCAGTGAAACTGAATCTGAAACTGGCATCCAGAACAGTGAAAGAATACATTTGTATTGTTTAAAGCCACCCAATTCATGTTATAATAGCCCCAAAATACTAGCACATGAAACCCTATAGAGAGACATCTGTTAGCTGTAGAATAAATATCGATGACTTTGAGTTGAAAATGACAGCTGGCTGGTAACACCTTACATGGCAACTTCATTCTCAGATATTCACAGGAGCTTGAAAAGACTGCTGGTGCTTTTCTCTAAACGCACACACGTGTGTGTATACATATATATATATATACACTCCATAGTGCGTCATTTAGTTAAAGCCTCAGGACTCCCCACGATAATACCCTGTTTCACAGACGAGAAAACCGTCATCAGAACACAGGTGGTTTGTCCACTTTGTTTGGAATTAGAAACTGATTTTTATTGAAGTAATCAGATCTGGCAATACTATTCAGTCCAACATGATGTTGAATCATGAGAAATAATATCAAATGGAAGAACAGGAGGTAGAATATCAGGGAACCCAGAATAAAAATAAAGAGACCCATTTAGGCCTTGAGTATTAAAGAGAGTTATAGCTCTGAATAATGGTAGATTTTTGTTAGTGACACACACTTTGAGGGAACATGATGTTACCCGTATGTGTCTGCAGTAAATTGCTTCCCATATTTAGGTAATAGCAATGGTTTAGGGACATTAAGAAATGCTTTTGAATATGTTTTAGAATGCATAAGACAAATGCTTTCTTATTTAAAAATATAAAACAACACAGAAAAGTCCTAAGTACAGCAAAAAGCATCTTATACCCACTAGAACAATTTGACAATAAGTTGAAGAACTGAGAGAGCCTCACACACTAAGACTTTATAATGTATTCTTTGAGAAAAAACAAAAAAAAATCTACATAAACTCCAAAACAGTATAAAATGCTTTATTCCATCAAGTCACAAAACAGTATAAAATGCTTTATTCCATCAAGTCATCAGGTCCATTTCAATCTCAAAAACATCTTTTGTAATAAAAGAACCCCCAAAGAGAGAAATACCATCTCTGCCGGCAAATCTGTGCTGTGCAGGTCTGACCTGAGACACCTGGGGACACTGCTCCTGTGCTGAGTTACTGAGATGAGCCAGCACTGCATCTGTGCCCATCCCCGCCCCAGCTCCTGTGATTTGCATGTTCCCAGGGCACAGCCCATGGCCCTGAAGACTTATCCAAAGGCTGGTTACACCCTGTGCAGTATTCAGTTCCAGTCAGGACACAACATGGACATGAAAGCCACCACTCAGCTCCTGGGGTTCCTGCTGGTCTGGCTCCCAGGTAAGGAGGGAGAAAACTAGGAATTTACTCCACCAGTGTGGTCAGTACTGCCTGGTTCTTCACAGAAGTCTTACTGTGACATGATTAATCATGTGGGTATTTGACATTATATTTCCAATCTCAGGTACCAGATGTGACATCCAGATGACACAGTCTCCATCCTCCCTGTCTGCATCTGTAGGAGACTCAGTCACCATCAATTGCCAGGCCAGTCAGGATATTGGTAACGAATTAAGCTGGTATCAGCAGAAACCCGGGAAAGGTCCTAAGCTCCTGATCTATTATGCATCCATTTTGCAAAGTGGGGTCTCCTCGAGGTTCAGTGGCAGTGGATCTGGGACAGACTACACTCTCACCATCAGCATCCTGGAGCCTGAAGATATTGCAACTTATTACTGTCTACAGGATTATAGTACCCCTCCCACAGTGTTACATGTCATAACATAAACTCCCCAGGGTAGCAGATGTGTGAGGCTGGGCTGCCTCAGCTGCTTCTCCTGGTTCCTCCTTCTGCTGAGAGCATTTCTCAGAAGCAGATGGACTTTGAAGGTCACTTTTAGGTTGTGGTAGAAGGGGCCAAGGACGATCTTCTGCACCCTAAACTTCTTTCCTTCTTCTCTGTTACACACCACACACTTGAAAATGTCTCCCTTGACTTCATTAAGAGCAGAGTTTATACGCTGAGAAGTCTGACTTGTGGCAACAGTTGGGATTCAAACAGTAGTAGAGAAGCCACTCTAGAAAAGCAAGAATTATTTTAATAGAGGGAATTAGAGTCTACACCACAATCTTACAGAGTGTGAGGTGTGGCAGTAAGGAAAGCTGATCCTAGACACAGCACATACTCTAGTGCTCCCCTAGCAGCCAGAGCACACCTGCCACTGAAGGTGTGGGCTCCTCAGTCGTTTGGGAATTCCAGGGTGGGGGTGCTGATGCTCTCACCTGCCTGCAGAACCTCACCAGGTGACTCTCCAATCTTCACCTCTGTCCAACTGTCTGCTTGCAAGGGCTGATGGAAAGAATTGAGTCCTCCTCTACTGATTTCCTTATCTCATAAAGGGCACCTCATTGAGCAACTCTACAGAAAACTAAAAAAGGGAAAGGGATTTTGAGAAATGTGCTTAGAGGAATGATGCTGGTGTTGGGGAATTGACAGCTGACTTCCCAGTATGGTCATTATCTCCCCAACTCTTAGAATTTATTTCAGTTAGGGGATGGAGCTAGAATACACTCAGATATGTTTCTCAGTATCATCAGCAAATTTGGGATCATAGCAAGAAAACTTAATTAAATCATAAAGGAAACAAAACAGTGAGAAATTGCATGAAATACATAAAAATTTTTTGAGAAACAAATAAAAAGCCTTTGCTGACCAAACAAACAAAAACAAAAGGAAACAAAAAAAAATTAAATGCGCATGTGGCATTATTTTCTTTAACATAAAACTTTTCCACTCAAAATCTGTCCAGAAGTCAGCATCATCAACATCACTGTGAACTTGTTACAGATCAAAGCAGCAGACCCAACTAAAACCTAGTGAAGGAGAATTTACACTGTAACAAGATAACAGATGTTTTATCAAAGGTGTAAAAAGCTATGTTTTAGGGGATATTTACTTCAGTGAAAGAGTTTTTTGTTGTTTTAGGTTTGTTTGTTTATTTTTCCCAAACAGGGCATTTAAAAAATGTCTTAAAAGACACATGTTGGAAATGCTCAAATAAATGCAAAATTACATTAAAAACATATTTAATATTTAAAAGATGAAAACATAATTATTTGTCCATGAAATGATCAAATACCTTGATAAATAAATGGAATAAATGTGTTTAGAAACTATAGGTATTACTGAGATGAATAAAAATATTTCAGATTTGTGTACCTGTGTTAGATATTATCATACCTAATTTTTCTTTTGTTAAAATTCTTAGGGGGTCATTGGTTTGGACTGAGCTCCTGCATGAGGCTCAGCAAATCAAACCAAAATGTCGTTCCTCATGCTAAAGTCCCACATACCAAACTCAAACTAAGTAGTTTACCTATTCTTTATTATAATGGAGTTCCTTCTGCTTTAACCTTTTCTAGGAAAGTAACTCTGAAACTAACAATCTACTTTCTGTTCTCTGTTTATACTTTCATCAGCTGTGTATTTTCTGTAAAACCAACCTCCTCTGCATCATGAAAACACTCATTCTGTCTTTTAAAATGTTGTTTGGACCAATTCTACAGTCACAAATAAAGGCTAATTGATACCTTTAAACTAAATTTGTTGTAATTTTTCTTTTGACTGTGCAGCATGATTTGGGAGCTTTGTTCCTGCAACTTTTCATGGCAATGTTGCGCCATGTTTCCTCAATGCCCTTCAGCCATTGCCCCAGATCAAATGTAATCCATAAGATGGAGACAAGTTCAGTGCCCTGCAACAGAATCACCCAGCTGAGTCCTGCCTTTATCAGCCAGATCATTGTTAACATGAACGTCCACAAACATGGAAAGAAATGCTTAGTACTTATAAGCCATTCAGTTTTAAGTGGTTAGTTACCAATCATTATTATGCAAAAGCTGACCAATTCAATATTACACATCCATTCATAAAGATAGATGTATTTTATCAAAATTGATAGCATAAATGGGAATATTTAAAAATTCATTGCTAAAGATATTAAGAAATGACTAAAGTAGAAATTAAAATTGAATATTTGAATCAAAACAGTGAAATTAATCACACATAAAAATGTTCATGTATGTATATACCATACATATCAGTGCATAATTCAACATTATTGCCTGCATATACATATGTAGATGTGTATGCATTTCTAAGTAAGGTTATTTAAATGCATATGTATATACAAATGCAAACTATGCATTAAAAAATCATTATATTAATTATATGGTTTAACATGATTCTTTTTTCTCCGTCCAAGAGTTACATCTGATGGTCACTTTACAAACAGAGATAGGTAATTCAATTACATTGACTATTGGTTTTCACAGATTGTATAGCCTTAGAAGAGACACAACTGAAGGACTGGAGACAAAATCATTTTGAAGAGCTGTGACTGGTCTTTCAAAAATGGGCCAAGCTTGAACGTAAATGTCTTGCAAGTGAAAAAGTGCCTAAAGGCCATTACTACTTAGGAGCCTCTAAATAACTAAGGTGACCCAATACACAGACCTCAGTCAGTCACCTTTCCCAGTTTATCCACTGAGTCTCATGAACCAATGTCATGGAAGGCCATGGGCAGGCTCAATAATATGAATTTCAACTAACTTAGGCTCACATGGCCACTGGCATTTATGAGTACCCAACTTGCGAAGAAAAGTTACTCCTCCTGAACCCTTAATATTGTTCCACACATCAGGAATCAGACTAACGACTGGTGTCCTGTTAATTACAGTGGACCTCACCCAACATGAGGAAGACTGTGATTGATTTCCTATACAGGCTCAGCTGGTTTTATTGTGGCTTGTGCATATTGTGTTTTTTTTTACAAATTGAAGGTTTTTGGCAACTCTGTGTCAAGTCTATCAGGCTTCTTCTTGGAAAACAGCATGTGCTCACTTCTTATCTCTGTGCCACATTTTGGTAATTCTTACCATATTTCATGCTTTCTTATTTTTGTTATGTATGTTGTGGAGATCTTTGATCAATGATGTCTGATGTCAGTAATGTCATTATTGGGGGGCACCATGAATCATGCTGACATAGGAAGGTGAAATCAACCAACAAATGTGTGTTCAGACTGCTCCACCGGTCAGCCATTTCCCCATCTCCCACCTTCTCCTCAGGCCTCCTTATTCCCCGAGACCCAGAAATATTAAAATTAGGCCAACTAATAACCATATAATGGCCTGTAAATGTTCAAGTGAAATTAAGAGTCACACATTTATCACTTTTAATCAAAATCTAAGCATAATCAAGCTTACTGGAGAAAGTATGTCAAAAATCAAGATAGGCTGAAACCCAGGTCTGCGAATGAAAAAGATAAGTTTATTGATATTGTAGAGATAGAGAATAGAGGGCTACCAGAGACTAGGAGGTGGAGGGGAGTGGAGATGACAGGGGACTGATAGAGGTTGTACAAAATTACAATTAGATCGGAGAAAGAAGTTCTGCTGGACTATTTCATGGCAGGGTGATTATGGTAAACAGTATTGCATATTACATAATAGCC